AATTATTGGCGGACCTTTTAAGTTCACAGAGAAACATTTTAAGGAAGGCAGACAATACAATTTTTGGATAGGGTCATTTGGTCTCTACACTCACCTCAACGTTGAACTAGTATCTGGAAAGCAATCTCGAGATATGGGTAGACTTTTCAGTGCAGCTAAAACGTCCTAGGGCCTTTAGTGTGGGCTAGCTTCGAAATTGAAGACATCCAGATGTTTCCGCAGAAAGAATTATCTTTTGTGCAATTGCACGACAGATTGTGTCGACTGGACCTTCAGGATAGGATGTTCCACGTGGTTCGTATAAAATTTCCTCACGAGATTGAAAGGAGAATATTGGGTCTTGCTAGATTGATGCACTTGGAAGTTTCATACCTGAAAGTATTCATTTGGCAACTTAAGCACTGGACTTTGGCGTCTGCTTGTTGGCGTCTCGCACCCTTGTGCTTCACCATTGGTTTCGTGTACTGATAGCAGTTGATTGGAAAGGCGTTATAAAGTAGAAAAGAGTTACAAGTGGTGATCATTTTCGATACGGAAGATTTATAGCTGACATAGGAAACGAGAAGGTCTTTTATTTTTGTCGCCCTGAAATGTCAATCACAACATTAAAAGATTGGATGCATCCTACGAAGCCGTTAGATCTTTCTAGTCAAATTCTCACTATCTTTGGGCCAACTGGACAGTTACCTTCCGCGGGTTGGGAACTTATATCGACTCCTGAGTCGAGAGACGTGTTTAGGAGATACCTTACGTGCTTTTCCGAAAATCCAACTCCCTTAATCATGCTGGCCAAAAAACTGGTTTCCTAGGTCGCCTGATTTGAGCAAAAATAATTGATGTTTTACTTTTAGTCTGCTGAAGTACCCAGTTTGTTGACAGCACAAATTTATTGCCAAATTAACCAGAAATTGGGGTTGAGCGAGACGGAGGAGAGTCGGTAATTCCAACCGTCGCCTGTGACAGGGGATTAGTTTGAGTGAGGTAGAGAAGATTTGCAAATTCTTTTCTACTTTGTTACATTTACCTCCATTCTTTATGTCAGCTTTTAAACTTCCACCAGATCCACCTTTTCTCTTGAAAGTTAGTAACTCAGCCGCAAACTGGTTTCGTATAGTGAGGATATAAAATGAATCGACATTGACTGCATTTTGTCAATAACCGAGTTTCAGCATAACGGAATCGACTTCATAAACGACAGGAAGCCTGGCAATTATAACGCTAACGTAATTGTCCGGCCCTTTGAAAGTACACCCCTCCTTATTGGAGGTTTCGTAAACAACGCTTTCAGGGGTTCCTATCATTTCCTCAAAAGGAGTTTTCCGATTAAATGGGAGAAGATATGGCAGAGCACTTGCCTAGCATTATCCTCCAGATTATTATGTTTACAAGGTTGTTAATATGGTCAACCATTTGATGAGTTCTATAGGGTTTATATAATTCATGGCTACCTTCGCGTTTTGATCTATTCAGTGCAATCAAGAGGCACGCAGTAGGACGCCATTTGCTCCAAATGTTTATGTTGCCAAACGAAAATCGGAATCTCCGCTTATTCAGTCCTCATGCTGGTCCCTTAAACTTGACTAAAGTTATCCTTACTACCAGTCTAACGGTCAATTACTAATAAAGTCGTCTTTAAATTTACCACTCTAATAACTAATTCAAAAACAAATAGGACGCTACGTTGAGGGCATTGTCGACAAACTCACTTCAAAAGAACGAAAAGTCCTTGGTCGTCGATTGAACGCCACATCACCAGGTCACGGAGGCAATGCGTTCGGTGTGGATGTCCAAGTAGTGCCAACTTTGGACAACTCCGACAATCCCGAGTTTCAGGTACTGTGCAGAATTGAAGAAGAACCAGAGTGGAGCTAACAAAACCGCCCTAAAAGTCATTAATGTGAAAGCATTGGGGATATAACACCTTGCGAATCATCAGAATGGACTTGTTAAGTGGCATTTCTGCCCAAAATGAGTAACAAATAAATCTTTATCCAGTGGGCAAATATAACGTGACGAACAAAGTCGGAAAAGATGGAAGGTTTTTCGCATTGAAGGTTAATCATCACAGCCTCTTTCATACCTCGTGGTTAGTTTTTTATCCACCCATCCATGGCTTCATGAAATTTTTCATTTTTAATTTTTTTAAAGATTTTGACTTCTTATATTTTAACCGACTCGTTTCTTCTGACTTCCAAATCAACTTAATTTCCTATTCTTTCTCTTGTAATTCTGAATTTGACTACCTTCAAAGGCTAACTCCCTCATAATGGGCGGTTCATGGCGGTTAAAATGCATTTTGCGTCAATTCTGGAAGGCTTCTCCACTAGCTTGCCGGCTCCGCAGTTGGGCCCTGTAGGGAGACTAAACTGACCCTATCAATCGCTTTGTTACGTCCTGCCATAAAAATGAATGTTTCCAAGGCAAAAAATCATTGTATGTATATGTGGGAACTAGAAGACCTCTCTGCAACAGGAATGCGAAATAAATTGCTCTTCCTGCAGGGGTAATAGGCTATGAAACGCGATACTACCGTGGCCCTACTACACCCACCTGTAAGTGGGATGTGTGGTCTCTTGCCCACTTAATAGCCTGCGCACATGTCTTGCGTGACCCAGTCTGATCCAGTGCAGCTCAGTCCAGTCCAGACCAATTGAAACCTGCCCGGCTCAGCCCAGCCCATACTGTCAGTCAATACAGGAGACGACGGTCCTAGCGACGGCTCATATGGAACAGTATGTGGTGGCCAAAGTAGTTTCTTGCCATAAAATGCATACAATCCAAGGATCCTCGTATCTGCAGATGACTTCTAGCACAATACGACGTCGCAAGGTGTTGTATCCCCATGAAGTCCGGCTGTGATAGAGAGAAGTCAAGAGCTCGAACATAATCGTTAACCTATTTGTCTGAAGAAGGGAACTAGAAAATTACTTTTCTCATACAAAGATATAGATGACTAAATATGATCAGCTAAATATGATTCACAGCCATTCTGCACGTCATTACCAAATACAGTCGTCTATGACGCAGTTGCCACTAATCCTTCAACCATAAATAGTCGTCTTCCTCTGCTTGAGCCACCCAGTTGATGGTCTTGAGTAAGAACATAGCCAACGCGTATATGCTCTCTTCTTCCAGCCATCCACAAGATCGCTCCAGCCACAGAGTGGTGGCGTCCTCGGACCCGGTAAGAAAATTGAATAGCGTAGGCGGCCAAGCTTACCACCACAGCGACACTTCCCAAGATTGCTAAGGCAGTACGATAAACTTCCAGTCGGCAAAATCTGTGATGAATTCTGACGTAAATATCGGAAATTTCGAAATGCTGCCATCCATGGAATGCCAAGATAGGTGAGCTTTTTAGCACCGACCACTGTTTTAGGTTGATAAACCTGTCCCTTCTGAGGCTTCCCAATCTCTAGCCTCACAAGTAGCAATCAGCTCAGGAGTTTCAGTCAGACACGAACGTCTCTCCAGCTTGAGTTGGACCATATTTTGGTGGATATTTGAAATTTGTCTGTGGTAACTAGATGGAATAAGGTTTCGTCCAGGGGTTCACTAAATTTTGCAGCTAGAATTGACCTACCCCTGGTTAAGATGTCGTTGAGTTGCGCAATCGGTGGAATGTCACGGAAAAGTGTCATCCTGCCTCTCCTCTGTCATCCTCAAAACACCACATTAATGATTAAGAATGCAGAGAGGACTTTTTTTCCTTTACTTGACTTACATTAGAATTACTTTCTTGTTAATCGTGTTGGTAAATGCCTCCGTGGTACTAAAGTCTTCGTTTAATTCCCCTTCACCAAGAAGTCTTCATGTACTTAGAATAATGTTTTATTCGAGGTGGTAAATTCACTTCTAATAGGAGAGGTGTTGGATTTATGAAATAGATGCTGGATTGTAAGTTTGTAGACTCTGTTAATCAACCGTGGTTGATAAAAGCTATTTAGCTTTGACTTAAGAATTTAGGATCGACAGACGATTGACAGCCTGCCGTTTTCATCATCCCAACCTCTAACCAAGTTTATTCTGGGGCTAAAATTTATTTTTAGCCACCCACATCTACCCAGGAATGAAATTTTTGAGTCCTACCAACGACTGCTCGTTGGCAGAAGTCATTTTTATTCGATTTGCGGAGTCGCACCAATAGAACAACTCACGTTCAAATTCACCGCTAATATCTTATAAGGTCGCATGATATGGCTGAGTGAGACAATCAGGGGAATAGACTGAGCTTCTTCTCGTAAATGCTACGGTTTTCTTTTGTCTATTTACCAAGTTCCATAACAATCCTAGTGACTTTATGACTCAGTACGGTATAAACTGCCCGCCAAACTGCAATGTCACAGATCTCCATTTTGAAAGGGGAGGAAACTTGAAAAGAAGTCCAATTTAATAGCTGTCAAATCCCGTGCACTCCCATGGGCTGTAAAATCATTAGTGCATCCCCTTGGCAGCATAAAAAATTCAAAGCCCTGAGATCTGGAATTTGTTTCTGTTGCTTCCGCTGCTGCCGCTGTTGTTGTTTAACCGTAGTCTGGTTAGCCAGCCCCGCATCATGATTAAATATTCACACGCAGTAAGAACTAGGATGAGGAGGGGCTTAGCGGGGACAGAGGTGAGGGCAGGCAGATGGGTGAGAGTTGGTCGGTCGGTTGGTGGGATGGTGATAACGCGATATGCTCTGTTGACTACTGAGACAACCATTAAGCCATTCTCTGAACTGTGCATTTTTGGCATCAGATATTGTTTCAGTTAAAAGGCGATCTAGAGGGGATAGATCGGAGGGCCGGGTTTTACTCCCTCTAATTCATTACACTGTCAGGTCACTTTTAGCATCCGTTGGGAACATGAAATGGAACATTAATCGACATTATTCAGCATTTCACTCAAAATCAGCCCATGTTTCTCGAAAATGCATATTTCATCAGTAGGTTAGTGTTAATTTTTGGCTAAAAAGGAGTTAAACATGGCGGAGTATGCTAAGTACTTCGTCGGGAAAACTTCTCTCTTTTGAAGCTGAATGTTATTGTTCCCTCCTTTCAGTGATACCGCGCACAGAGACGGAAAGTGTTGTTGCCGCTTTTTAGTGCGAAACAATTTTGCAATTTCATGTGAAGGAAAGTACTGAGTTAAAATTTTATTTCATTTAAGCGTGACTACTTGAGAGGTTATTATCACTACAATCAAATATTTATTTGCAACAATAAAATTATCGTCTTCGGAGGTAAAGTCAGACCATAAACGGAAGGAAGGCGAGGTTTCTTTCATTTGAAGGCATTAAATAAATCTTTGAAGTAGTTTTCTTGATTGTTAAACTGGCCCGGTACTCGAAAGCCCGGAAATATCAGTTTGTTAAAAAAAAGTAGGAGCGTAATTCTAATTTTTCCGGGATCCTGATTTCAAAAATTGGTTACTTGAACTTACCCTTATCACTTACTGAAGGGACATATAAAAACAGAAAAATCAGACTAGAAAAGCTTGATAAACTGATTAAATATGATTCAAACGCGGATATTAATTCGTTTTTAGTCTTCAACAATGAAAAGTAAATCCAGTTATTCGTCCACTCATCCCTTGAGAATACATCGTAGTACTCTGACTGTTTGCTTAACTCCTCGTTTTGGTTTAGCGGGCAATTAAGGCCCCGCCTTTGTATTTCCTCTGGGCAGAGTGGCCTCCAGGCTATGGTAGTAGCTTTGACACCACTTTCTAACTAAGTATTATGTCTTCTTTAATTTTCAGGGAAAATTAGCGGTGCTACATTAGCGACAGTGTAAAACGAATTTGATCTTAAGAAACGGCTGGGTGACGGAGGAAGGGCATATGCTTCGGGAGGAAGAATTGAGAATGATATATACTCTTGGCAGCTGCCCCAATTTCCTGATCTTCAGGAATGCTTTTAACAGCTAAAGCGAAACTAGTTATGGAGCTGTCAAGGGTACTCGCATTGAGAGGCCAATTAAGTGAACACGAGGTACCTCCCCCACCTCTTGACAAATAGCACAGAATTTAGGTAGATATGGCTGGGCAATGTTAAAGTGACTACAAAGTGGCAAGGAAGGACAGGCGAGAAACATTATCTACGAGAAATTATTTTAATCCCACTTTAGGTCAGTGTTCCTACGACTAGAGGTAAGCCTACGTAGTACCCAGCACATTTTCCTTCCCTCAACATAGTTCCCAAAGAGGAAGAAACCCCAGATTCAGTGAAAGTGCCAAGGTGGATCAATGACGTTGATTTCAAGCATCCTCTCAGTCGTACGCAAATTCGATGACTGGGACGGTATGTTCGCGGGTGTTTCACCAACAGCACTGCCTACCTTGTGATGACCGACGCCGGAAGTTGATCAAGAGGAGCGATACGAATGACGCCGAAGGGAAGAGAGGGGCTACATAATACTTTGTTTGTTTCAGGATAGGTTTTGAATTTCCTGGTATTTGAGGCTCTATTACTGTACTTCTGCCAAGAGGCCTGGCCTCCTTGCGGTGCCATTGGCACTTCAGCCCTTCCGTATGTCGACAATACACATTCTGCCCTAGTAATGTTTACTTTCGTCATCAGGAAAGCCTCAAGGCGCTACGATGAGTCAAATTGCTTCTTTGATCCTCGCTAAGACAAAATCTGCTTTCTTCAGCTAATGGAACTGTCATTTAAGTTGAAAATGGTCAAAGAGCCATTTAAGATTTGATTCCTTTTAGGAATAAATTTAATTACATCTAAATGATCCTATTCGCACCCAGCATTTGGAAGACTACAAATACCTGGGTAGGTAGACAGTGAAATAGGGAAGTTAAATTTTTGCTACTTGATCCTCGTTTTTCGCAGTAAATGTATGAGTGCTAATCATAATAAGTCAAGATTTTATTTTCAGGATAGAAATAGGGAATGAATAAAGAAACTGATTCAACTTTCATCTCAACTTGCCAATTCAACATCGCTGATAAAGTATTTGGGTTTGAAGGTCGGACCTTGTAGACTTACGGAACCGTTCATTTTCTCATGTACTAATGCATATTTAATGCGCTTTCCTCCACACACTCGTAAGCTTTCAGTTGGCATGATTAATTTTAGCACCCTTAGTAGACTCTTCCCTTCTGAGCCGGCGAGGCTTCTCCTCCTCCTTTATTAAGCTTTCACAGCCTACTCAATTGGTCCAAAATAGAAGTCCCCTTACGTCATTCCTGGAAGTAGGACTTTGTGGAGAGAAGGCCTTTCGGGATCATGAGAAGAAAATTACCATACAAATAAACAATCGTTTAATTCAACGGGGCTCCAAGGCTTCTAAACCAAATCGGTTGTCAACATGAAGATCGCAATATAATGAAAATCCGGAAAGGGAAATGAGGAGGCGCTTCGACCCATTAGAGTGGTGGTGACAACTCAAAAATCCCTCGTTATAATCAACATTTTGAGCTCTCAACAGATGAATCTTGTTCCAATTTTTTACGCTTGATCCGGTCTTCCAAATCAGCGATGGTGTCGATTAGTAGGACATTTCCATTTTGAAATGCACTAAGTAAGATTCTTCTTGATGAGGATTTTCAGAAGGGTTTTTCAATCATTCCTTAGAAGGTGAAATCCAATGAGAATAATAAATTTCTATTTATAACTTCTTTTGACACCAAGTGCTACAAATGGGTGCTTAAAATAGAAAAAGTGGATGGTGGAATGCATTGTGGTGCCTTTTAATTAACCATTTATTCCTACATTCAGGCGGACTAATAACAGATAGTGTTTTTAACACTTTCTTATTAAATTGTTAATTATATGGGGATTAAATATTACTTTTTAAATGAAAAATGCATACTTCATATTTCCAAACTTCCGCAATTCCAAGCATCTGTCACAGACGACAGAAAAATAGCCCAAGGCACCAGGTGATTTGGTGTACCCCAGTTATTCTGGATTGATCCTATGCAACTTCTAGTCTACGAGAACGTAGGCGCTCCTGTAATTCTCTATGCCGATTTCTTTCGACTGGTTAGTTTTACTCCAGCAGATCATATTTTGATGCTTGGAGGAGATAATGAAATATGCAGACAATGCGGAAAATCTGTCTTCTGGGGGTAAACGTTTCGGGCTTTGAGCGCTAAGTTCTAGATTCACTATTTACCTTCGCATCATCGGAAGAATTTATTCGTAACTCGTTTTTTAATTCTAACGTAAAATACAGGCGGTGTATTCGGCGCCGAGCATGCGCGGACTAATGAACGTAGGCGGCAGGGTATTCTCCAACCCACCGGCAGTCTAAGGCACACGGCGTAGATTCCACCACATTTTAATGGTACTTCTGGTGTTGCCTGCGAGGGCTATTGTTTCAAAGGCAAAGCAAGAGACCACCCACCCACACACATGAGGTTTTGAAGCCCCGTAGACCTTCCCAAAATCTTGCCTGCCCGCCTTGGCGCCAAACATCAACGTGTTTAGTGAAAAAAATCGTCTCATTCACTCACACTGAAGGGTAAAAAAGGTGATTTCAGCCGCATGACAACCTTAGTGATGGAGGAATTTTATTGGGTTGATTTGATGTTTTTTTGTGGACACGACCAGGCGCATCCGCTTCGATTGTTGGGAAATGTTTCCTCTGTCTGATTAAAATGTCTAGGAATTTTCTTTTCGTTATGGCTTGAAATGGACTATTGTCCTCACTTGAGTTGATGTTATCTACTGCACAGAATAAATTTTAGGGACTGAAAGTAAACAGCAGAATTAATGAACTCCCTTGGTTCACAGTAGTTGAAGATACAGGTGAAAGGAATTTGGGAATACGTCGGTTTTAAAACAGCTTCGCTAATTTTTCAAATTTACTGAGGTGCACAGTGAGGAGATCATGGTTCCTTCACCATGTCGGAGGAAGAAGCTGAGACCGCATACATTTCAGCTCTTCGATGCTGTAGTTTGTAAATCATCAGTCGATTTGTATAAACAAACACCGGGTTTCTTAAAACGAGGATTCTGGACACGCTATAGCTGATTCCCATAACTGGTAACAGTCCACGCAACCCAAATGCTGCTTTAAACAACAAAGAAATCGGTCTAGCAGACTTTAAAAGAATACTGACTCAACGTTGAATAACCAGTCAACTCCAAGCACGTGGACATCTCTCAGCAGTCGGATCATGGTCAGAGCTCTGCAAAAAAGGATCCGCTACGTGATCTTGGAAAAGATTTTGGCGCTGGCCACGACCTCTCCTCAGTAATTGCGTTTCTCCGACGCTCCCTCTAACGGAGATCGCAGGAAAGTAGACGACTTGTATTTCAAGGAAGAGACTTCCGAATTCAATTATTGAAGGAGCTCTGCTCCCATGTCCCCTGTGGGGGACCCACAGACCATTCAACGAATGCTTTTTTAGACGCAAAAGATTGCCTATAGCAAGTGCATCGGAGATGTCAATCACTTCACTGAAGGAAGCTTGTCTAAAGTACAGTTTCTGAATACCGGGCATTTTGGTCCTCGCTAAACTCATTCTTTAGAAATTGCTACTATTTTCAATGCCATTGGAGGTAAACTACACAATGTAGGTAGTTTCCACATTCAGGATCCTCTGTTCCGAGTACCCTCAGAGCCAGCCCTTAGCGTCAGGTGCCTTTCGTGACGCTTCTTCTCGTGGTAACAACTCCAAAAGGCCAGAAGGGCAAACATGCGTATCGCTGTATTAAATAAACACGATGATTAAAAAAACCTTGCAATATCTTCCAAGTCGCCCATATTCTACAATGCTATTACCACTGAAGTGTATGTAAACCCGCTAGAAACGGTTATGATGCATTTTTACTATAAATGGTTGCACTTTTTTAGTATCTCACGATTAGGCCTACGAGTTGGTGATGTGAATTCTATTTATGCAACCCAAATTGCTAGTTTCCCATCTTCTCTCTACGCTATGAATGAAACTACCTTCAGACGCGTAACTAGGACACCAAAGTAGGCTGGCACTTAGGTTAAAGTGTAGGAAGAATTTACATTCTGTACTCCCACTTTGGACCCTCTTTCATGCAGTACTGAAGAAAGACGCTTTGAGGAACAGTCAAGACCTCTTTCCTAACCACCTGTTCGTACACGAATTAGGCATAGTGATTGTTTACCTTTCAAAACCCTCGTTGACCTCGTTACACTATCCACGTCCTGTCAATGTGTGTACGGATATGTAGTAGTGGTATGTTTATATTAGTGAGCATTAACGCAGTTACCCTCCCTCACGCACGCACACACACCCCCAGACGCACGAATTAAAACGAACGGTTACGCGCGGGGCACTGTGTTATTCGCTGAGCCATAGCCAATCATTAAGCTCCGACGTCCAGTGTGAAATGAACTCGGGTTACTTGAGTTACTACAACACATAAACACAAGTACACACACACACACACACAAAGGCACACACACGCACATACACACAAAGACACAATTATACACATACCTAAACAGATTTGGCGGCATCCGAGTCCCAAGTGATGTTGAATTCGAGCCACCAGTAGAATGTTCAACCTCGGCTTTAGGATTACCACCCTTCTTATACCCCTTCTTCTGGTCTTTCGGCAATGTCAAGTACGTCTATTAAACCCTCAAACTTCCGTTTTCCGATGACTTATTATGGTACCAGACTTACCCGTTACCAAAGTTGCTAGCAGTGTGTTTTACTGACTGATCCTTTCGGAGAATAATGTAGGCACTTTGAAATTTTACGCGGCTGAAATTTTGAAGTAATCACGTCTTTTCTGTTCTGGTCAAAGGGCTTCCTGTTCTCCTCTCCACTCTCTACACATTTCCGTTGGACAGTGCAGAGTTTTATCGTTGGTTTAATCGCGCTGGTTCATTTAGGGACGTTTAAAAATATCCCTTCGCGAGTACCATTTCCGCACTTCCCGCATTCATTGATGAATGCAACCTTTTGAGAAAGTACCTACAAAGTTATTTTCCGCGAAGGTGGGCAGCTGAGTTCTCGAGGCCGTTCACCACGAACGACTTAGTGCGTTCCTTCATCTCAGTCAAATTTTTTCCGTCAGTTTAACTTTAAGCTAGCTCGAAATTTGCTATTTGCTCTCAGAAGTTGACAGTCTTTTTTGTTCCCATAAAAATCCCAAAATTCGAGAAAAAAAATTTGATCATCCTGGACGTTGGGAAATGCGCGAAGCTCTCCTTTGTGTTTTTTTCACCCAGGCATTTTTAGGGTAGTCTCGGGAAGGGAAAAACTTCCCAAGATCTATGGTTTGATGAGTTAATATATAAAATACAAATTTCTCGTTAAAAGCGATGGTATTTGGGGGTTTTTTAATGGGACAATGAAGTTAAACAAAAACAAAAATGAATTTAGAGGCGGTTTTTTTCATGACATCGTATTCGTTTTTCAAAATAGCAACTTTTTTTGGGTCGGCAAATGTGAGTGCTTGTCTATGGCGTGTTAAACAGACAAATGGAGATTTTTTTTAATGGGGCTTAATAACGTAGGAGGAGTGATGAAATCAACTACTAACTGATAGGCTGGGGTCAAGCCTAATGACGGCGCATGAAATCAGCCCCATTTTTGCTTCTGAGTGTCGGGCCGATTTTAAAGTTCGATCAACTTTAGGCCTTTTTTGTAACCGTCTTTTTGAAATGCAGCCAGTTTTTTTACTAAAAGAAAAGCTGGCTTTTTGGTAGATAGCGGCGGATGGATCCAGCTGGGTGCGAACTGTGGCTTTAGACCAGAATGGATACTCATTTTGGGTGTTCATCTTGCCACAACTCTATCTGATGCAGCTCATATTGCCATGAAATTCCGTTCTTGAGCGAAAAAAAGTAGATCAGACCATTTGACTGATGGTGAAGGTTCTATTTCCAATCGAATTAATAGGACTTTGTTGTGTTTGTCACATTTAGGAGTGAGTCAATTGGCCATGATGAGGAGTAAAACTTAATTTAGCAGTAGCGAAATAGGCTCAACAGCAATCCTCCCTACCCCGGGTGTTATCACAGCCCCCTAATCTACATAATAGATTGGCCTTTGTGATGAACCCGTCGGAGTGGGTGTGTGCAATCACCTTTTACAATCTATCACCATGGTGATAAAACACCAGTCCTGGTTAAAAGTGTCGATGATGTTCGACCGACAATTTTTAACCACCGAAAAAAGCGGAAACCTATTGTTCTTTCGCAGGTTGGATTAACACTTAAACGAGGTTCTATTCATTGCAAACGTATGGCAAATACGAGGAGAGCTGCTCGGCCTTGAAACCTGAGGTGCGGTCCGTCACCCTGTAGTACTCTGTAAAAAAATCCACATGTTTCCCTATGAGAAAGTAAGAGTCGCGTGATTCATTAAGCCAAAAAGCTTCATCGCCCTCTCATCCAGCCCTTTACTTCCAAATGACTCACCATCGCCATTATTCATAGTCATTGCTGAGGTTTGAATCGCCACTGTTCCTCCAGTTTCGATGGCTAAGAGGGAGCCATACATGGTCTCCAACCCCTTTCTCTCATACAGAAATGTAATATTCTGGATAGTTGTTGTGACTCTTATCATCGTCTTGTAAACAGTTAACAACTAAGCGTTACTTCGAACTCGGTAGTGATGTTCCAGGGTTGGATTTAACTTAATCCAGGTTTGGTAAGGTTGCGATACTCTCTCTCTCGCGCTCCATTTTTTAGGCATATCGGCATGCCAGAGTGGAAAATCGTCTGTTGCATTGTACATTAAGCAAACTGTAATGGCAGAGCTTAATCGCTCTGCCCGCTCACACTCTGCGTGCTTTGATGTGTGGCACACCGCAACCATTGACTACTGCACTGTGATTGCAAAAAAATTTGTTGTCCTCGTCCGCGCCCTCGTCCTTACCTTGAGCTCCATCCCTCTCTCCCTCTCTCCCGGCCAATAACAGTCCCAATTTTTAAATGGGCAGTAATTTCTTAGGTTTATAAGTGGGCTTGTGCATGTTTTGTGACATCCGCTTTTGAATACTTATTGTGTGTCGCCAAAATCTGTTAAGCTGATAACTGCGTGATTAGAGTGCATGAAAGCTGCCATTCTTAAACCGCTGTAGACAAGTGGCTAATCGGACTGGGTGGGTCCAACTAAGCCAAGCTGTCAGGTAAAAACAACCACGGTATGTAAATACAAGCAGATACTTCGTAGGGGAGGAGTAACTGCGGTTATGGTAGTGATAGTGACGAGGATAAAAAGTAGGTGTTTTTCTCCCCCGTAGGCAAGATCGAATGTCACGATGCACCTCGGCTTAACTTACGACAGTAGTCGCAACTGTGACGAATCACCCTACAAAGTTACTGTCTGTATCGGTCACAAACTCGACAAGTAAGTCTGCCACCTGAAAATGTAAACAATTTTATTTTGTAATTTGTGTAATTCTTGTTCATCTTCCTAGGTGCCGTATATTTGGACCGCATTTATTCTATGTGCAGGCGGCTTGCGCGGCGTATGGACCGAAGGAGGTTATTCAATTTGAGGTGGACAGTGTGGTGAGCTACCTCTTCCTTCCTGTGTTGTGAATTAATATCAGCTCAATCCTTTATGATTTGACTTGCGATTTTACCCAGAAGTAGGCCTACTTGGAATTGCCACAAATATCCACGCGAAATTACAAATAATGAAAGAGGTCAAGGTTTTTAAAACAAGTTGTGTAGAAGCTTTAAAATAGTTTGAAAATGTGGGGAAAATCACTTCGTAGGATTAACCAAGTGGGGAGGAACTCAGCTTTCTGTCCAATGCTATTGTTAGGAAGAGCCGTTAAGGGTGGATGCTACAATTAAGGCGACAAACAGCGACAAGGAGTTTCAACTGCAACCAGTGACAGCCAACCTCACCTTCCCTCGTCCCATTGATGCAAAAACCAAAAATCTTAAAATGTGAGTCCTCCCTTGCTGCGATTTTTTCCCTCCTCCGCCTTTTCATTCTCCTTCCAACCAACTATGGTTAGTAATTAAGCGCCTGTCTTTCACCTGTTTCAGTTCACGAATTAGGCAGATTTCAAGTTGCCTGCAAGCCTGTTTTGAGTGGGCACTTACGAAATGTGTCAGATTTGCTTTAGTGGACAGTAAATTTGCCATATTTTGAATTGGTGGGGAACTAACTCCACTGATTGCGCCAGGTGTTGGGGCTACTTTCGTTCAAAAACGTCCATTTGAAGTTGCAGAATTCACGATTTTCTACACGGTCGTGAGATCAGGAGAAAAAAAAAATTTGAGAAATTTTTATTTCCAATTTAGAATTTGCAAAATTGTGATACACCGGATTAGGATTTTAAAATGAGAATGTGGAGAACTTCTTTTACTCAGAAAGTGAATAACAGGGTTGAATCTCTATTCGGTTTGGTGTACTATTTACCGGTCACGTGGAATTTTAGAACTGCCTCCTTTAGATCCTCTTTATGGCGATTCTCAGTATAGTTCACTTCTAATTCATTAACTGAATAAGACACATTCATTCACCCCCTTACTTCCTCATTTATTCATCCATTTTGGAGTCCTTCACTGATTAGTCCACACATTCATTATGCTCTCATCTACTTGTAGAAATTAGGCGTTTGAATTTCATTTTCCTCGGTTCTCCGAAAATTTGAAGATAACTTCTCCTGGAGTACAAAATTTTACAGCAGAGAATGCTGGACGGCTACTTACCCTCCGTTCAAGTCTAATACCTACTTAAAGAGGCAGAAGAAGCTTCAGTTCTTGAAAGACCTAAATATTCATGGAGAGAGTAGCGACCATCGGTAGCATTCAGCTTCGATTCCTATATCCATAATTGTCTGCAAGGGGAGGAGTAAATCAAACAGTATCATTATTTTTTCACGGGGAGAGTATCATTAACGTCCCATTTTTCATCAAAAAGTGCCTATGGGGATTTTATTTGGGCATATTTTGCAGCAAAACATTAACTATATTTAACTCCCCTTCCACTCGCGATGCTCACGCATTTGGAACGTTAGCGAAAGTAAACCGACTCATATATGCGGTATGGAGGTCCGCTAGTAGACGAAAAAAGCGCCAAAACCGGCGTCTAGCTCCACCAACCACCCACTGAAATCTCCAGTTAATACTAGGATTGGCCTGCACAGTTTTTTCCAGGAAAATCTGAACATTCCTTCAATCTCCTTTTTCGAGAAGGCAGGAGAACTCACAGACCTCCGCACTTCAGCGAAGATTGTAAGTTTATACTGCATAGGCAAAAAATGAAATGAAGGGCCGGGTCTGAATTATTTTTATGAGTGGCTCTGCATGTCTGCTGCCATTTAGACCGTAAATTTGCAAGTCGTAATGAAATATGACCCATAAAATACGTATTTCCTAGTAAAATTCTGTAATTGTAAAAAAAATGGGGAAAATATATTGGTAGAAACATTAGTTTTACAGAAAACCTAAATATCCCTTGAGAGCTGTTTAAGGGGCATCGTTCCTAATAGGCTCGTAGAGGATCCCTACACAGTTTTCGATGACCATTCGTTTGTCCACAAAAATGAGCGCGGCTGGGTAGTCTTTTAATTTACTGACGGGAAGGCTAAATGAAATATTCAGACTTTCCTCAATTTCTCGAGGAAAAATATTTACTTTACTTGATTGGCACAATGAAGGAAATCGCGTGGGATAGAAAATAATTCACCTTTACCAGGGTTTACAACTATAACGCTCTGAAACCATAACCACTGTCCTTCTGCGTCGGTTTACCAACACAATGTGGAGGTGCAGAGCGTTTTGTGCATTAAAATAGATATTTATTTGGTTGTTTATTCAAACTCCTTCATCCGCGATGGATCTTTCCACTGCAAGAAACGAAAGCGTCACAATTTGTTACACCATTTGAATAAAAAGTTACACTGTGATTTGTTTTCCTAAGACAGCATGAGGTCAAGCAATCAAATCACGCGCTATTGGGTTCTAACATCTACAAAAAACTGTCCGTTCAAATGGTTTAAAAGCTGAACCTATTTTCGGAATACACTCCAATCCAACCAAGCTCGAGTTTCACTGTAAACAACTCAACTATCTTGTACCACATACCGGAGATGGGTGGCACGAAGTAGATTAGCCATTTGTGCTTCGCGGAGCAGGTCATCCAGCACTACGATTCCAGGTTGCAGCGAGTAATCTATGTGATGAGAACACCCTCACCCAAACATTATCGTCTCCTCACTTCTCGATGGAAAAATGGGAGGAAGAATGTAATGGGAAAAATCCGTTGCGTGCCCATTTATAATGTTTTTATGTGAACCTATTTTATACAAAATAAACGCACACACAGGAATGAGGGCAGGCAGTGTCTAATGATGATTAAAATTTGACGTTACTGCGACTTCGCGTGAGAGTCACAGTCAACTCGCGCCCCCTGGCCACGTCTTCTTAGTCTTGGGAACTACACACTCTCATCCTCCTCTTCTTCTTCCGCCTTCTTCGCCACCTCCTCTCCTATTTTTTTCTTCCTTAATCATTGTTTTTTTGTTGAGTGACTTTCGAGAAACTACGCATTTTCCTTCGCTGCATCGTTGTCTTTTTGACTTGTTGAAGTCAGGACTTCTGCAGCGGCTAGATGGCTCCCAGCTAATCGTAGCGTTAATTTGTACCGCCTTGTTGACTTTTACTAAACTTTCACCATTTCTAGACCAGGAATGTTCACATAATTAATGGTGTAATCGCCATTACCGCCGTGGGCGATTTGTCCGCCTTGTTAGACATGTGAATCTCATTATTACAGAAAAGCTTCACCTAATGTAATGCCAAACCACTGTTTGTCTTTCAGTTGACAAAAAATTACGCCAAGTTTGGTTTCTTAAGTCGAATGTAATTGGATCTGACCGACTACCCTAGTTTATGACAAGACCCGTTAATAGACCTGGAAAGTGCTTCAGATGACCGTCCACAACTTTTTGAGGGAGTTACCTCCTGCAGATCAATTCCTGTCGGTGCCAATCATCCATTTAATTTGCCCGATTTGCTCGGGATTTAGTCATTTAGGTCAGGAAGCCGATTACGTCAAAATGCTAATTTTCAAATTTACCAGGAGAATCTCCTCCGATTTGTAACAGCCTTCGAGTGCACTAATTTATGCCTTCATTGAGGTGATTTTGTGGGTAAAAAACATCATCTGTCCAAATCGGCGAGGAGGGCACTAATTGGGCGAAAATATGAACAAAAGTGACAAAATTTTTCAAATTTTAGGGTATTAATCCCACTTGCCAAATCGTGATTCTAAAAGATGTTATCTCTTAGTATTTCTCACATCCGAAAAGCGTGAACCTGAACTTTGACCTCTTAAGTGGGAGGGGGTCAAATTCTTCATTTTCCATGTCAGCGGCCAAAATCTGTTTAAGGTTTCCCACTTTTAGGATAAAAATACAGCAATATTTCTAGCATCATTTTAAATTCTGAAGGTCTTTTAGGAAGCAGCAGTAGAAGAAGATAACTAACAAGGTAATAATTTATGATTGTACAGGCTAGAGGATGGCTGATCCGTCCTCCTTCCTTCCTCTTATGAAATTTCTAACACAAAAATGATTCGTTGCCCCGTCTTCCGTGTTAAAAGAGGCGGTTCGACGCCTGGACAATTTTTAGCCATTTGCCTCAATTAGACGTCGAGACGGGGATATAAAACCGACAAAAAGTTGTCTCATGTCTCCTTACCTAAAATAGTAGCAAAGAAGGGACTAAAATTACCTCGGTACTGTTGCCACGAGGGCGTTTCATGTTCTGATGCTCAATAAACCGCTCCTCTTTGTGGCTTCTTTGTCCATAGAGCAAGTTAAATTCTGGTTACATGGTCTGTTCGGCATTTTTGTGATAGATACGACATAAATGCTACCTCTGTGTGGGTTTACCACAAAACCGGTAGACGGACTAATTAATAACCGGAGTCCCATATCAATAGTGTCTGTGATTTCGGGCTCAAAACTCACATTCGTACCTCCTCCAATAACTCCATCAGTCAATTGGACAAGCGGAAATCCAGTTCTAGAAATGAGATAAAAGTGACGATCCGTGCTCCTCATTATCCTGAGAAATGTTAAGCGCCCCCAAAGTTTGCTAAGTAGCAAAATCCTCTTCTCGGAACTTTTAGAATTCTGCAATTCCAATTCGCCTACACCTGCGTGGGGGGCTACTTTGGGGAGCTGTGCGATGTCTTCTGCTCTTCCGAGGCCAAGGAGTACCGATGTAGTCTGAGTGGGGAAAAAATTTGCAATCCAGGTAAGATGGGCGGTTTGTCATTTCAAAGGGCTCGAAACTTTTCTAGTGCGGCTCCTGTAGAAGTGTCGAATGCAGTCTGATGGCATGAACTAAACAGGCTTTATTTAAGCTAGCTGCCGTACCCCATCGGAATGGTAGTCTTCAAAAAAACTACTTCCAAATGACAGGGTTGCGTGTTATTAAGTGTGCGCCATTTGTTCTAGGAGGAGGAGAAAGAAAAAAGTCCTTTTAAATAACCTATCTCACAGACATGATAGCACTTGGGTGCATGCTCTGTCTGCTGTTCTGATGACATCATGGTATTCCCAGTTCGGGGTATGCGGCTTTTTTCATGCAGCCCTTGAGCCCCACTTCAGTATGATTTATTACTAATGCAAAAAAGTTTGAATCACTATGAGTTAGACCAGCTCTATTTAATGGGGTGATTATATTTGATTACTTTTTAATAACATTCACGGTTTTGACATATGGATTGGAACAGTGATTAGCTGTCATCGCATCCATTTTCATAAATATTTCGCACCAAAGTCATTTGATCCACCACTAATCACTACCTACCAGCATGACTTCGTATTTAGCATTGTTCACGGGACGGCCAACGTGACGTGGTTCTCCAGGCGAATTGCCTTACTGTCCAATCGGATGTATGCATTCACACTTCAAGTACCTTAGAAGCGCTGGTGTTTGTTTCGCACTATTGACAATCAGCATAGACCTTGCTTCGATGAATTGATCCAGACACTAGTTCCGAATTGTTTCAATGGCCTGAGTGCCTGCCTTAGCACTAAAACTTTGCACTATTTCTCTACTAAGTGACTCCGGGAGAAAGAAGATTGGATGCAATAATGACAGTTTACGGATTGAGAGGATTGGAGTTTTTGAAGGCTGGACAAGTAATACCGACATCATGGGGTGTCAGGAGGGTGTTTTTTTCACCCAACAGTGTATCGAATTCTCTCATCTGGAGGACCGAAAGGACGACGCGTTTTGCTGTCGTTCACAAGAACTAGGGTGTGTTTATGCTGAGGGTTAAGGAAGTCTGTATGCTTTGTTTATGTTACTCCTGCCACCAGTCAATGAAGGGCGTGCATCTGTCCATGTCTTCTAAACAATCTATTGATTGTTGAAGGCACTCGCGCGGTTCCGAGAGGTTAGATTATCTAAACAAACTGAACTTTCATCCATCTCTATAAGCATTTCTACGGAATAGTCATTTTTCGTATAAGCTGAGGTGGTGAGGGTTTATGAGGGAAGTTTGGAGCACTCATAATTTCGCCTCGATCCACTCTCTTGAAGAAGGACACTTCTAAGATCAAGATTTGTATCAGATTTGGATTGAGGCTTTGGCTAAAACGATGGAATCGGTGTTTAGAAATGCATTTTGAGACCGAAATCATCGCCGATTTGAAGACGAACAGACTAATAGCATGAAATGTTACGCGGATCTGCTTTATTCTCTCCTGGTTCGATCCTCGCGCTGCTGCAGCGAATCTACCGCTCCGGAATACGATGTAAAGCATATCAGAACATGAAAAGTGCAGAGCTTTGAGTAAATAAAGCAATTTACCTAATCAGACTGCCACTGAAAAACAATGCTCTGTTACACACAGCTAAGAAATTTAATTGCTCGGAAAGGACAAGTCTTTTAAAACTATTTCAGCAGACAAGGAATAAAATCGCTCCTGTAATGGAAACATTGCGCATAGAGGATGTAAAAAGACAAATTTGTTACTTTACTGTGTCAAAATCGGCTAGGTTACATCAAAGACAACGAGACCGGTGCATGCATCTACGACCGATGCGGGTCGATGCCCAACTACTGTCTGAACGGCGGTCGATGCGTGAATAAGGCGCAGGATGAAGAGGACGCTTTGGACACCACCACTATGCCCATCTGCATCTGTCCACCCACTCGCATGGGTGCCCGGTGCGAGATTTTCCGCTCGCTTCCTCTCCCTACTGCTGTCTCCACTACCACCACCACCACTGCTGTCATTCCAACTACTGCAGCAAATTCTAGCATCACCAGTCGTCCTTCTGATCTCGTTATTAGTGGTACACTGCGACATCAACCAAAGAATAATGTCTCAGTGGCACGGCTGTCCAAAGGCAACGGTGGCATTTCACAGAGTTCTGGAGCTCTGGAACAGTCCATTCCGGAGAGGGTAGGCATTATTTTTCCTTTCGGAGAATCTGGCGCTGAAAAATCAACATCTTAATCCAAATTAATATATATACTGAAACGACATTCACACTACCAAACCTTGTTTATGAAAGGCTGGACATATTTGATTTTTTTGGCGCATTTATTTTGACCTGGTGTGTCGAGTGATGTATGAAGGCATGAAGTTCATTGTTGTCCGAAGTTCTCGTTAAGATCTGATGCCTAATGTGTCATCTGGTGTTGTTCTGAGGCAATGCGCTCTTTTTCCTTTCATTTTCGTCTGCCAAATTGGCATTCATATTGATCAAATTTTTACTGTTGCTTAAATCCCTCCTATTTTGCACCCGAGCTCGGAATCGGCTTTCTAATTTGGGCTTCTGACTGCTTCAAAGTTGAGATTATATCTTCCTCAACTCGCTATCCAATGAAAGGGGAAAAGAGCTTGATATCATTTTAAACTGCCATTATAAATGGCCTAAACTACTTGACTGGCCATCAGGGTGTTTACTCTGACAGGGTACTTTTTTCCGAGAAAAAAAGACAGATGATATTCAGAATTATAAGCGAAAGTAAATGCTTATTTAAGAGCAATTTGTGAACGAAATTAGGGCCAGTGTATGAAACAAAATCCGTAACAGTCATAATATTTTGCTCAAAAAATGTTTATGAAAACAGCCAAAAGATTCAAACAAATTAGCTCAGCTTTAAAAATTATCATTTATATTCAATCGTGTTTGAATTTGATACATTTAAATGTGCGTGATCTGCCAAGGTTCTGTAAGCTTTGACAATCTGAAATGAAGATTACTTACTCTTACGTCGGAAGGCTACAGTTTGGCGTATCCAGAAATGGTAGTGCCTTTTTTGTCCTTCTGTCTCGCTCCTTCTTTTGCTGAATAGGCTCATCGCCTTTTTTGAGTCGTGTTTAAATGTTTTATCAATTAATAAATTCTGACCGGGTAAATAAATATGACAATGAGAAGTTATCATTTCAAAGTGGTGATGGGGTAACTTATGGCGAAAGTCTAGAAAAGTTTCACAATTTCCCGCGTATTATTCCTAAGCATAGAAATAAGGACATGAAATCATTCACTCAGTAGAGTCGGGAAATGGGGAGAGAGAGTGGACGAAAGGACGTGGCACTTTGTTTGGGGTTGTTTTGTTTTATCACTTAAACAAGAAACACTTGAGAATTGCGAAGGCGTTGATGCATGAAGCGGGGAGCACATCAGAGAAGACAATGTGCGCGTTGATCCTGGCGGTGCCGGAAGGGGCCTGGTGGAGCGTAAAAATTGTACATTTTCATCCAACAAAAAACCTAATTTCCGTTGCAAACACCAACCTCAATCCCTACCACAGCGGTGCTCCTCTCGATTGTAATTTAATCGTTGAAATTAGGAATTGGGTACAAGCCTCCCCGAAAACGGATTTGACTTTATCCCGATTTTCCCATCCAGATGTGGGTAAATTCCATAGGATAAAAACGTTGGAGCGTACTCTGGAGAAGGTTCAAAGTGGAAAAGGTAAACTTGTCATTTTGAAATTAACGGTGGTTGGGTTTAGGTGTAGATAGATAATTCAGCCGTCGAGCTCTTCTTTTTCATTGGTTTTCATTGCGTCAGAGCGTCACAAATCACCGAATTCACGATCGTGTAAACACTACCTGGCTCTTTCAGTAAACGAAGTTGAAAAGAGTGTGGATAATTCTCAGTGGTGGTGGATATTTTAGGGTAGCCTCCAACATTAATGGTTTTTTTTTCCATCGGTCTCAAATAAATGCTCCGGCCTGCCCTGTTTGTGGCCAAGAAGCGCCCTTTTATCAAGCTCTTCCATGACTCAAGGTTATTTTCATCTCTCACTCACTCATGCTCATTCAAAGTAAATAGATTAATTATGTCATTAGATGGGAGACTGTGATAAAATTTTAATCATAAACTCACCGTCAACGCCTCCTCCTTTCCTCCTGCCTGCGGACTCGCAGTGGACCATCAAAATCGCATGACTCGAGGAAGAGAGGTAATCTCGACTC